GAATAGGCTGCACTAGAGGTAGTTTGAACTGTAAAATGATGAGACCTTTGTGTATGGATCAATTATAACAAATTTAGTATAGAAGATAGAAATTGAACCTAGAATAGGCTGCACTAGAAGTTTGAACTGTAAAATGATGAGACCTTCCCCTTGTGTGTATGGATCAATTATAATAAATTTAGTATCAAGATAAGGAAATTGAACCTAGAATAGGCTGCACTAGATGGAGTTTGAACTGTAAAATGATGAGACCTTGCCTTGGTGTAATCAATTATAATAAATTTAGTCGAGGGAGGAAATTGAACAGAATAGGCTCAATAATAGTTTGAACTGTAAAATGATGAAACCTCCCCAACCATTATAATAAATTTAGTATTGAAGAATAACCTAGAATAGGCTACTCAGGTAGAAGTTTGACGGATCAGGGTATGGATCAATTATAATAAATTTAGTAATTGAACCCAGAATAGGCTGCACTAGAGGTTAGAAACTGTAAAATGATGAGACCTTCCTTGTGTATGGATCAATTATAATAAATTTAGTATAGAAGATAAGGAAATTGAACCTAGTAGGCTGCACTGTTGAATTGATGGAGTTTGAACTGAAAAATGATGAAACACTTGCTATGGATCAATTATAATAAATTTAGTATAGAAGATAAGGAACTTAGAAAGGCTGCACTCGGGTAGTTTGAACTGTAAAATGATGAGACCTTGCCTTGGTGTATGGATCAATTATAATAAATTTAGTATTGAAGATAAGGAAATTGAACTTAGAATAGGCTGCAAAAGGTTTGAACTAAAATGATGCAAAAAATAACAAATTAATGGTCAAGCTTACTTATGGATCAATTAAATTTAGTATTGGAGATAAGGAAATTGAACCTAGAATAGGCTGCACTGTAGACACGCGAAGCAGAACTGTAAAAAAATGAGACCTTAGAATTGTGTTTGAATTTTGTAATAATAAATTTAGTATAATAGATAAGGAAATTGAACCTAGAATAGGCTGCACTAGAGTTTGAACTGAAATCCAATGGATCAATTATAAAAATTTAGTATTCAGATAAAGAAATTGAACTCTGGACTAAAATAAAATTGTAAAATGATGAGACCTTCTGTAATCAATTAAAACATGTAATCCAACCTAACTGAGAAAAAATGGTTAGAAATTATAATATTTTAGTTTAAAACAAATTGAACCAGAATAGGCTGCACCAGAGGTAGTTTGAACTGTAAAATGATGAGACCTTTCCATTGTGTATGGATCAATTATAATAAAATTTAGTATAGAAGATAAGGAAATTGAACCAAGAATAGGCTGCACTAGAGGTAGTTTGAACTGTAAAATGATGAGACCTTCCTTTGTGGTATGGATCAATTATAATAAATTTAGTATAGAAGATAAGCTTGAACCAGAATAGGCTGCACTAGAGGTAGTTTGAACTGTAAAATGATGAGACCTTACCTTTGTGTATGGATCAATTATAATAAATTTAGTATAGAAGATAAGGAAATTGAACTTAGAATAGGCTGCACTAGAGGTAGTTTGAACTGTAAAATGATGAGACCTTGCCTTGGTGTATGGATCAAAATGATGAGACCTAGTTTGAACTGTTGATGAGACCTTGTATGGATCAATTATAATAAATTTAGTATAGAAGATAAGGAAATTGAACTTAGAATAGGCTGCACTAGAGGTAGTTTGAACTGTAAAATGATGAGACCTTGCCTTTGTGTATGGATCAATTATAACAAATTTAGTATAGAAGATAAGGAAATTGAACCAAGAATAGGCTGCACTAGAGGTAGTTTGAACTGTAAAATGATGAGACCTTCCCTTTGTGTATGGATCAATTATAATAAATTTAGTATAGAAGATAAGGAAATTGAACCTAGAATAGGCTGCACTAGAGGTAGTTTGAACTGTAAAATGATGAGACCTTTTTGCCCCTTTTGTGTATGGATCAATTATAATAAATTTAGTATAGAAGATAAGAGATTGAACTTAAATTGAACCTAGAGAATAGGATGAGACTTGCCTTTGTGTGTATGGATCTTATAACAAATTTAGTATAGAAGATAGTTTGAACTGTAAACTGTAAAATGATGAGACCTTCCCTTTGTGTATGGATCAATTATAATAAATTTAGTATAGAAGATAAGGAAATTGAACCTAGAATAGGCTGCACTAGAGGTAGTTTGAACTGTAAAATGATGAGACCTTACCCTTGTGTATGGATCAATTATAATAAATTTAGTATAGAAGATAAGAAAATTGAACTTAGAATAGGCTGCACTAGAGGTTTGAACTGTAAAATGATGAGACCTTTGAACAATTATAATAAATGATGAGATAAGGAAATTGAACCTAGAATAGGCTGTGTATTTGAACTCAAATTATATGGATCAATTATAATAAATTTAGTATAGAAGATAAGGAAATTGAACCTAGAATAGGCTGCACTAGCTTTGAACTGTAAAATGATGAGACCTTCCCTTGTTTGGACAATTATAAAAATTTAGATAAAAGATAAGGAAATTGAACCTAGAATAGTATGGATTTGAATTAAAATGAAATTTAGTATAATTTTAGTATAGAAGATAAGGGAAAATTGAAAAACTTAGAATAGGCTGCACCAGAGGTAGTTTGAACTGTAAAATGATGAGACCTTCCTTTGTGTATGGATCAATTATAATAAATTTAGTATAGAAGATAAGGAAATTGAACTTAGAATAGGCTGCACTAGAGGTAGTTTGAACTGTAAAATGATGAGACCTTGCTTTGGTGTATGGATCAATTATAATAAATTTAGTATAGGAGATAAGGAAATTGAACTTAGAATAGGCTGCACTAGGTAGTTTGAACTGTAAAATGATGAGACCTTCCCTTTGAACAATTATAATAAATTTAGTATAAAAGATAAGAAATGAACCTAGAATAGGCTGCACTTTTTGAACTGTAAAATGATGAGACCTTGGATGGATCAATTATAATAAATTTACTATAGAAGATAAGGAAATTGAACTTAGAATAGGCTGCACTAGAAGTAGTTTGAACTGTAAAATGATGAGACCTTGCCTTGGTGTATGGATCAATTATAATAAATTTAGTATTGGAGATAAGGAAATTGAACCTAGAATAGGCTGCACTAGAGGTAGTTTGAACTGTAAAATGATGAGACCTTCCCTTTGTGTATGGATCAATTATAATAAATTTAGTATAAAAGATAAGGAAATTGAACCTAGAATAGGCTGCACTAGAGGTAGTTTGAACTGTAAAATGATGAGACCTTGCCTTGGTGTATGGATCAATTATAATAAATTTAGTATAGAAGATAAGGAAATTGAACTTAGAATAGGCTGCACTAGAAGTAGTTTGAACTGTAAAATGATGAGACCTTGCCTTGGTGTATGGATCAATTATAATAAATTTAGTATAGAAGATAAGGAAATTGAACCAAGAATAGGCTGCACCAGAGTTAGTTTGAACTGTAAAATTATGAGACCTTCCCCTTGTGTATGGATCAATTATAATAAATTTAGTATAGAAGATAAGGAAATTGAACCTAGAATAGGCTGCACTAGAGGTAGTTTGAACTGTAAAATGATGAGAACTTGCCTTGGTGTATGGATCAATTATAATAAATTTAGTATAGAAGATAAGGAAATTGAACCTAGAATAGGCTGCCTTAGAGTTAGTTTGAACTGTAAAATGATGAAATCTTGCCTTGGTGTATGGATCAGTTATACAAATTTAGTATAGAAGATAAGGAAATTGAACTTAGAATAGACTGCACTAGAGGTAGTTTGAACTGTAAAATGATGAGACCTTGCCTTGGTGTATGGATCAGTTATAACAAATTTAGTATAGAAGATAAGGAAATTGAACCTAGAATAGGCTGCCCTAGAGTTAGTTTGAACTGTAAAATGATGAAATCTTGCCTTGGTGTATGGATCAGTTATAATAAATTTAGTATAGAAGATAAGGAAATTGAACCTAGAATAGGCTGCACTAGAGCTAGTTTGAACTGCAAAATGATGAGACCTTCCCTTTGTGTATGGATCAGTTATAATAAATTTAGTATAGAAGATATGGAAATTGAACATAGAATAGGCTTCACTAGAGGTAGTTTGAACTGTAAAATTATGTGACCTTCCCTTGGTGTATGGATCAGTTATAAAAAATTTACTATAGAAGATAAGGAAATTGATCATAATGTAGTTTTGGCCAATGGTGTAAATTGCTACAAAATCAAAATTTCAACCTGAAAACTGGAGTCATTGTCTTCAATTGCCTCGTCAGAACGTGATTTTTCATATGGCTGTCATATAAGGTGCAAAACCCGTTCGGAAACTTCTAATCTCTCAGTTGTATAAAACCACTTTAAGCGAGTGAAGCCTATGGATCTTAACAAAGATTATCCTTCTTCGAGCATTGAGGACTGGCGCTACAGAATCACATAGAATTGAGCCAGATGAAAGCAAACAGATGAATTGAAGACTTGCTAAAACAGTAACCACTAAAATGGATAGCACATGCAACTCGAAAAAAATAATGGTCTAATTAAGGTGTTGACTTTCCGCACTACTTCAAATAAAAGGTTAGGAGGGAAACTGCTTATCAGTACTGGAAAGAACAATAACAATGTCCTTGAGAAACCTACTTTCCGGAAAAATATTTGAAGAGAAAGATTTTATTAACATCAAATGAAAGTACTCTGTAGGAAAACAGCTGTTATTACCATTACGGGATGGGGTTAATTTCACTCCCAGTCAGTTTTCAATTCAGATTGCTTTCTTACCAAATCTAGATTGAATTATTTTTTGCGTCTTATCAACCTTTTGAATCATATTTAAAGATAAAAATATTTGTATTTGTGAACTTCAAAATCTTTTTGGAGATAATGATACAAGTATTATTATTTAACCCATATGTGGGGACTTAAGTCGATTTTCCAATTTTGAGCCGTTATCTATTAAAATACCATCACATTCAAGCTTACAACACCCGGTATTCCCAAGCGTTTACCCATCTAGGTCCTGAACAGTTTCGACGTTGCTTAACTTCGGTAATCGAGCGAGAAGCGGTGTTTTCAACGAGATATGACCGTAAGCCTCCAAAACTAAGGATTAGTCCTAGTTGAGCGCGAAAGCTATGGATTCAAGCCTTCCGCAAGTGTTTTTTGCATGAAAACAAACATACTGTTTCGGATAACATTTGAACCCGGCACTCCGATCCTAACTCCCGTGCCGCCAATCTCTACATGACATCTTTCGTTACTGACATTTCATATTCATATTGAAGATGTATATCTCTCTACTGGAAAGTTTGTTCGCTGTTTCGTGCCAGACAATTCTTCGCGTCAGAATTCTTCTTGCACATTTATAAATCTACCATTCGTCTGTGAAATTGAATACTGCTGCCATATCTGGTCTGGTGCTCTTAGCTAGCGGTTAGAGAGACAGTTTTCTTCAACAGTCATGAATATCTGTGTTCATGCAGTGCGATGTCGCCCATGGATAGTTGTCCCTGCAAGCACTTCTGGTTGGCAACCTCGAGGCCACACTATGCTACGCCATTTCCGGCTAGTTCATGTTACTTTTTACTTTTATTATTGAACTTTCCCACCTTTAAAAACATATCATGACTGAAAAAAATGAAACAAAATAAGACTAAACCAGCTTGCAAAAAAAAAACAACCCCAAAACAAACAAACAACAAAAAAACAACTAAAAAGCACGTTACCCCTCAACCTTTCTTTCTCCATCATTTGTGACATTCGTAGTTGTTGTAACCTAAGAAAGGTTACTGAATAGAATAATCAAACGAATGTTCGTAATGAACGATACTGCTTAGGACACGAACAACACGTATAAGATTCGCCAGCGGCGCGTAGAAATTGTCAACTGCTAGAAGTGAGAAAAGTGAATTCCATAATGAATCTCCAACTGCAGGATATCTGCCAACCGCCCCACGCGATCAGATGTGGCACAAGGACGAGTTTATTGTGGGGTATCCGAGCCCGTAGGCTCGGCTAAAAATTGACCGGAGAACCCGTATAAAACGGGGTCGGGTAGCTGTTTACCGAGATGAGATTCTGCCCTTAGACATAGCCTCGTCTGGGGATCCTCTCTCCGCGGAGGCAGAGAGTTTGACCAGCACAGCTGAGGACAAATAAACTGCAGAGTATCTACCAACCGCCCCACGCGGTCAGATGTAGTACAAGGCCGAATTTAACGTAGGGTATCCGAGCCTGTAAGCTCTGCCAAAATTTCACCGTAGACTCCGTATAAACACGGGGTTGGGTAGCTGTTTCTCGAGACGAGATTCTGCCCTTCGACATAGCCTCGTCTGGGGATCCTCTCTCCTAGGAGGCAGAGAGTTTGACCAGCAGAGCTGGAGACGAATCCCCAACTGCAGACCAACATACAGTATTTACTACTGTATTTATGTAAATGGGGACATGCCCATTATCGTCAGTAGGCATGCTACAACAGTAATATAAAATCATCTCTCATGGAACATTCTCCAGACATCCTAGCTCTCTGTGAAATTAATCTGAAACCTTCAATCTCTTCCACCGAATTATATGTTCATGGCTATCTTCATCGCTTTTGAAAGGGCTCTAGTGTCCACAAACATGGCCTTGGTGTCTATGTTCACAAGCATCTCCCACTCAGGGTTGCTAGATTGGCTTTTTTATGAAATCTGTCATTTTTCATGTGAGTTTGGCGCCAGACAATTCGTTTGGTGTCTTTGGCTTTTTCATGGTTTCTTTTTGACATGTTATAATATATAATAAACTATATTACAGCTGCTATGCTGCAATCTTTTCTCTTTTTTCTTTATCCCCAATGATGTGCCTGAATTATGGGAGATTTCGGCCCTTTTTATCATCATATCTTTAACCCAGAAGGGGAAGAGACCCCTGGAATTTATTGTGAAAAAAAAAAAAAAGTAATAAAGAATCTTTTGCAAGCCTATACCAATTTCAGCAGCCAATCAAAAGGGAGAAATGTCTCTTTTATAATTCTCTGCCATATCAATAAATAAACTAATCATCATTTTTTCCTGGTCTTTTACGTGCTCAACCCTCTTCACCAATGTTTTTTTTCAAAGTTCTTTAAATGAAAAAAAGTCGTACGGATATAGATACTAAAAAAAAAAAAAAGAATAATTAATGAAACAATTATTATTCTATCATTCGATTTAATAAGTTAGGTAAAAAAAAAAAAATCATTTTACAAATTTAAATTTTATGAAATTTATCCAAAACGTTTTTAATCATAAAATTTTATTAAAATTCTAAATAAATCAAAATCAAAATTTCCAAGCGAATCAGACTATTGTTTTCTAAATAAATTAAATTTCCGAATTTACAGCTAAAAAGAAAATCTTCACTATACAATTGAAAGAAATAAAAAATTTTCATTATAAAAAGCCTAAAATGCCAAGGTATATTAATATTAGGTTGGTGCAAAAATAATGACGTAATAATGTCGTTTTTTAACTTATTTTTTAAAGTCAAAAAACGACATTATTACGTCATTATTTTCGCACCAACCTAATAGATAAATAAAATCTCATATGTTTATTTGGCTTTTTCCCTAGCTTTATATGAAAAAAAAATAATTTGGCTTTATTCTAGCTTTTTATAAGTATTATTTAGCTTTAAATAAAAAAATTAATCTGGTAACCCTGATCCTTTTAAGTTTCCGTATATTTCTTAAGTGTACTTTCGACTTTTGCTAATAAACTCAGTTATCTCTTCTTCCTTTATCGTTCACCTTCTTCTCATGACTTTTGTTTTCTAGATATAATTTCTGATAGTATAGAAAATTTCTGATAGTATAGATAATTTCTGATAGTATAGATAATTTCTGATAGTATAGATAAAGCCCCCCCTCTCTCTCTCTCTCTCTCTCTGCGTTTCTTCCTACCAGTCGGGATGCAGCAAGCAGAAAACTGCCAACCTGATAACCTCATTATGAACAGCAGTAGCCTCCAGCCTGCCATATCACCAAAAAGTTATGACAGCCACCATTATTTTCCTTTCTCCTTAGTAAAATCTTCTTATTCTCTTTCGCTGCCAGTAGCTCCTTGCGTTTTGCGGCATTATCACCTTGCTCGGGGACAAAATGATTTAAAAGAAAAATATAAATTTTGTAACACTCCACAAGACCGGCCATTGCTCCGGTATGGTCGAGTATTGCAGGTTAGACACAAGTCTCCGGTTCCCAATGTCAATTCGAAGCCACCCTCCAGCCACGTTGTGATTGTTTTGATCCTGGAGAGTAGTCATCAGATCACAGAAACCCGGAAGCTCTCCGTTGGTCCACCTGCGTGTTCGTCGGGTGAGAATCAGGTTAACAGAAAAATAAATATAACCAAGTCGATTCAATTTTTAAAGGACAAAAGTTCTTTTTTATATATAAAAGCAAACACACAAAAAATAATAATTCTTGTTGCACAAGTTGAATGTTTCTTGTATGTGAACAATAGCCAAACAAACAAATACTTCAAATAATTCCGGTAGAGGATATACGTCGCCTTCGTTTTAACCCTTTTTGGTCTGTTCTTAGCGCAACTACTACAACCTTCGATGTTCTGTTCTCAGTAGTAGTAATAGTAGTAGTAGTAGGGTAGCGGTTCTTAGATGTTAGCGGCGGTATTTCACTTCTTCGCTCTCAGCGTCAGCAACACACAGCGGACGCTTCCTTTTTAATCTCTGACGTCTCTCCACTCAGTTCGACTGCATTCGAAGACAGACGAACCCAAAAACTCCCTTTCTCCGGTTGGCTCGCGTCTTTATTAAGAAAACCGGCTTCTATGTAACAGACTGGTGACGTATCTGTTTTTCTAATGTGAACGCACTGACCTACTATCAAAGTACAACTTCATTCCTCCGAGAATAAACAATTTACTTTTTTATCGATTGGTTTCCACGGTTCACAACAAGACGCTATTGTTTATCAACTCGCTATTAATTATTCTGCCGCTTTTTGTAAACTACAGAGTGTCTTGTTTCAAAAATAAATTCTAGATCAAAACATCCTTTATTTTATCTTCTATTCTTATAGTGTCAAAATCCATTTCTTTTTTTTAAAATTATTATTATTCCAATAATTTTCTGTTAGTAATCTGATATCCTTTGTACACTTACAAAAAGATTGTATTTCGTGTTCCAAATTAACCTTCTGAAACATTTACATTTCAAAGTCTTTACAGCGTATTAACATCTTGCTTATTCGAAAACGCCTCTCTTTCACTTGGCGTTTTCTGTTTTATAGCTTATCCTACTTTATTATCGTCATTATTATTTCAGGGGCGATAATCACCCTCTCACAATTTGTTTTTAAAATAATAATTAATAAATTATGAAAAGGAGAAAAGTATATATTTTTTGTTCTTTTTTTAAAAGCATGTTAATATTTTTTCTTGTCTAGCCATTAATAATAAAATATAAATTATAAAGTTACTCGGAACAGTATCAATTTCTACTATCATATTATAATTCTGTTTGTCCGTCCCTTAGTACGACTGTTACATCTTGCCAATACCTCATAAATAAGGGACTATTCCGTTTTGATCGCCTGGAAAAACGGAGAGGACATTTAAGAGACACTAAATGGTTTCTGTGAGAAAATGAAAGAAAGAAGTTTTTAACGGTTGTTTCAATGAAATGGAAGAAAGTTGTCTTTTCATTTGTACCCCCTTACTTCTTAAAAAAACGACCAGTATTTACGATTGTTATTGAAATATTTTGTTAAAGTTGCTAAGCTCAGTTATTTATCGCTACGCCAGGGAAATTTCTCCGGATATTTTATTGTCGTAGAACGCGCCATATATTTATTTAATCATTAACTTAAAATTTTAAATTCATCAGAAAATTCAAATAGGGAACTCGTGAAATTTTCACTTGTATTTCTAGTAAATGATATTTTCGTATAAACGAAAAGCGGTAAAACGATTTTTTCCTCACGACAAATTTGAAAAAAACTAGAATATTTTAGCATCACTCTGACGCGTGTCGAAATCGTCTCAGTATTTAGTACTGTTAAATTTATCGTTAACATTTTTTGCCGAGATTTACAAGTCCTACGTTTCGTTCA